TATGGCTTAGTTTATTTTACTTGACTTAACCTTAAAACTTGAAATATAATAAAAATTAAATAAATAAATAAATAAGAAAACATGGTGTACAATAGTAAAACTATTTGGTAGTGATCAGAACTATCTATGCATAACAGTTTGTTCAGTGACCTCCTTTACACCACAACTTCAGAAGTCTCCAGTTTGCAGCCAATCACAGAAAAATCTGTCCTGATCAGTTTATTAGTCTGTTGGTGAGTATACTGTGTACACACCACAACTGACTGACAGGAAATAGCCATGTTTTTACATTAAAGGAGCTCAGTGTACTTAGGAAACAGAGTCTGCTAATCCACTTCTTTTTTAAACTTTATTTAATCAGGAAGTGAATATCTGGAGACAGAGAATATCCTTTGTGAGTGTGTACTGGGTTGGCATGGGAAGCATTAATCTAGCCTAATTTTTTTAATACCCCTGAAGGCAATGAATGTGTGTAAGGGCCATAGTGTGTAGAGTGTGTTGTGGGGAAAAGCAGCAGAGGGCTGTGAACCAAAAGTGTTTTAAAAATCGTTCAGCTTTTCTGCTCCCTTCAGGTTTCCTTGCTGGTGCCGGTTATTGTCCGTCACCTTAAAACCAGTGATTTTCTTCATTTCACTCCACACATCCCTCACACTGTTCTGCTCATACTGTCCAGCTTCCTCTTGCAGGAGTCCTCAGTTTCACCCTTAGGTCGTACTATGCTCTCCTCAGTTTGTCCCCATCTTCAGAAATTCAGGTTTTCTTCTTAAAATAATAATATCTTAAATTATAGTTTGTTTGTTTTTAAATTGTTTTAAATTGTCTTACAGCCATGGTTGGTAAGATGGTATGTTCACAGAATTTGATACATTTAAACTGTACTCCCTATGTGGGTCACATTGTACATTCCAGTCTGTAGTCCTCAAAGCCTAACCCATCCTACTCATGCCAAGATATTACTGTTATTATCATTATTATTATTAAATCACAATTCAATTACAAAAAAACTGTTTTCCAGATAACAGATACTTTATTTACTCTCTGACTTACTGTGACATATCAGACATCTCTTTGTTCTCTGCGTAATCTGTAATTTCAGTTAGTGCATTAGTGAAGAACTTATTGACTTTATCTTCATGGTCATAAATGACAGCATTTTAATATTGATGTCAGCACAGTATTGATGTTGTGTCATAATGTCTTTCAAAAACAGCTCAGTTAAATACATAAAGGCATGAAAAAGAGGACACAGTCACATGTTTATTGTCAGTATGACTGTTTAATGAATACAGCTCTTAAAGTCAGCATGTTGGTTTGTTCACAGCAAATAATTAATGATTTTAAATTAGTCGTTGGTTGATTTTCCTGGCACTTTTCCATCATCATAAATTTCAGAAATCTACTATATATATCCACTGAATTTATTTTAACTTTAAACAATGGCTGCTAAAGGGGGGAAAGTGCCAGAAACCATGATAATTTAGTGGCAATGAATTATATTAAACCTTAAATACTTTTCTCTGAAATTAAACTTAAAATGAAATAGACAAAAATCCAAAGTAAAAATTATCCCCCCAAAAATTTAAATTCAAAGCCAAATATATTAAATCGTGAATTTACTTCAAATTAAAGATAACCCAAACCTACTAAAAAGTACATTCTTACACAATAAATACAATTATTCATGATGATTTGTGCCAATTTGACCATTTTATTAATCAAGTTACCGTAACCACCCAGGATATGCTGGTGGTCTCGTAGTTAAACGAAGCTCCTTTCAGAAATGAAAAGATGCTTTTATTCACGTTAATATCCTGACATGACTTCAAATAAACTTTATTTCCTGTACTTACACACACTTTATCTCATATTATTACATGTTAAAACTCAACCCCTCACTTAACTGTGTGGGATATGCAACTGAAACCAATCCTGTGTTTTTCAACCAGTTTTCCACTATTGTGCTGATGAGCACACGGAACAATGGAGCTGACATCTGACACTACACATGCTTCACTTATTCTGCTTAGGCTTCCTGGCTATTATTATTATTATTATTATTATTATTATTATTATTGCAAGTAAAACTGCTTTTTTACACGGTTCCCTTATTTTTCCGGGTGTAGCGATCAGTGTTGGAGAAGCAGGAGGGAATTCGATGTTCAGCAGCTCCTTTGATCAGTAATAATTTTTCAGAAAACCAGGTTAATAATGAAGTGAGGTTTTGTGCTCACAAAAGAATCTGTGCGTGTAGCAATGTGTTCTGCCATCTTGTTGTAGACTGGCCACAGTTTACAAACTCTTCCCGTTCTTATTAATTACTGTGTGTTTTACTGTAGTGTGTGTACAAGATGTGTGTTTTGTTGGCTACATAAGAGATAAAAACAAAGAACCTACAGATGCTGTGACAGTCAGGTCCACTTCAGTCCACAACAACAACATGATGGACCACAGCCTGTGCGCACGCGTGTATGTGTATGTGCATTATCCCTGAGCCCTTGAGCACATGTGTATGTGTGTGAATGGCGGGGTGAGGTTTTGTAGTTTAAAATCACTTTGACTGGTCACTGAGATTAGGACTGTCCACGTAAACTTTACCTAATACTAGAGTGGACTTTATATTAAAAGGAAAGGGTTTATAGCAAAGCTCTAATATAAACTGTCAGTGCTGCAGCAGGTGCACTCCTGACAACTAGAGGAGACAAGAGGCAGTAATGATCTGGATCTTCTGATCAAAGTGACTGCAGTGCCACTCCCAAAGCAGGATGTCCACTCAGCATGACCTACGTTCTCAAAGAGGCTCTGGAAGAATATGACAAGGAGAGAAGACACCACATCTTCTCAGATAAAACCAATCTGTAGTTAATGAGGAAGAGTTATCAGAGCATCAGGAAAATTTATATATTTATATACTAACCCCGACACTACAACCACACTCACCCTTAGAGGACTTTGACCACACCATTTTGGGGTTCAGTATGTCACCCATGGACATTTCAACATATATTTGATTTAATGAATTAGGATTTAAAGCATCACCCTTCCAGCTAATGGATGAGCTGGTCTACCTCCTGGGCAAAGTGACTGATTGAATTCACAGTAAGGAAACATACTGTACAGCGAAAGTCAGTGTGATTTGACAAATGCAGCCATGGCATATGCTGAACTAAGCAGGCCACCAAAAAGAGCACGAGCAATGCTGAGCAAGAGACTAAAGGCTCAGAAGAAGACTGGACTTTGGTTTAGTCACAGACCAGTAACTAAACACTATCCCTAAACTTAGACAGAGTGCTACATTTATTTATTTATACAAAAAGCCACATTAACCCACTCACACACACATCTCAGTCATTGTGTCCTTGGGCAAGACACTTCACCTACCGCCTACTGGTGTTGGCCAGAGGGGCCGATGGTGCGATATGGCAGCCTCGCTTCTGTCAGTCTGCCCCGGGGCAGCTGTGGCTACAACTGTAGCTGCCTCCACCAGTGTGTGGATGTGAGAGTGAATGAATAGTGGCATTGTAAAATGCTTTGAGGGTCTCGAAAAGCGCTATATAAATGTAATCCATTATTATTATTATTATTATTATTATTATTATTATTACAACATTTCCTCACCAAAGAAATGAATATAAATTTAGTTATATTAAAACCTTATGATATACTGAGGACTGTTTGCCACTCTCTTCCAAAGCAAGAAGAAAGTTTTTGAGAAAAATTCACTTGTGGTCTGATGTGGTCAGTTTTCAGTATCTGCCCAGATAACATTTTTCATGGATATCTGGATGGCTGGTTGGCTCTTCATCTTAAAGAAACAGACTTCTGCACTAAAATTTGCTTAATATTATCTGAGTCATGACTGTTCTTATAATGCAATAAAAAAGCTATTTGGAAACATCTGGACCTATTACCTCTCACGCTGGACTGTTTCCTATAAAACCATGGCATTTAGCAATGTTATGCAGGAACAGCTAAGGGAGAGGCACACTTTCCATCAACAGATGGCTATGTTTAAAAGTATCAAATATATTCATGCATTTCAGATTTCCATTTCCTATATAAATTGATTCATTCACATCTTTTAGATCAGTTCGGAATTCGGAATTTGAACACTTGAATTTGAACACTTGAACACTTGTGGCATACCAAAGACCTGTTTAATTAATACCCTAAACACAGACAAAGATCAAGCCTCCTCATGTGAGATAAACCATATTCATCATCATTCTAATCTTTTTAGACCTGCTCAATTCTTTTACATTTAGATTACTCATTTATTTTACAAGAAATTAATAACAGAATGTAATTTTTATAAAGTAACTCCAGACCTGCCAGCTCTGCTTGTTCTGATGGGGTTTTACCATCACCATTAATCACAGTGTACGGTTCCCGAAAGTGAGGAACCACTGCACATGTGCACAGATGAAGGGAAGTTTTGGAGAAGACTGAAGTTTCTCAAAAAATGTTTAAGAGGATGTTTAAGATGGTTCATTATAAAGTCCTGAATAAAGCAGGTACATTTATTATTTGAGTCAAGTGGAACATTTATTTGCATAATCATTCTTCGGTATTCTGAGCCTGGATCCCTGAGTCATCTGGATCATTATTGATGTTGCTGTTATTCATAGTAATATTTATTAATAGTATCATTAACAAGAAGAAGAATCATTTTATTTTATTTCATTTTATTTTTTTTATTTTTTTATATATTTTAAGTATTATATTTAAAATTTGCCAGATTTTCAAAAAGTTTACATTTTTTGAACAATTCTGTGATTTCAATTTTATTCTATGAAAAGAAAAACACCAGAACTGTTTGAACCAGGAATCTCGCCTTTTTGCCCCAACCGAGGAACCATCACTCATTTCTGTAGCTGGATCTTATCGTGGGTTTTTAGTCCACTTGTTAAAAAAAAAAAAAAACTATAATAAATTCACCAATTAAAAGGACAAAACTTCTCTTAAATATCCTTAAAGCTTTGATCTAGAGAAGCAGCACTCACATGGAGGTGATGTTCTGGAAAAGATCCTCGATGCTCCCGGTATTATTCCCAGCATTCCCGGTCCCCTGGAAGGACAGCAGCGGGAAGAACTGGCTGTTGTCGGACTTACTGCAGAAGATTTCAGTGGGAGAGCAGGTGCAGGTGGGGGGACAGTCCAACAAGGAGCTCGGGCAGCTGTGAAAGAAAACGCTGAGCAGAACGGAAACCTTCCAGCAGCACCGGATCCCGAGAAGGCGACGCGCGCCGAACAAATCCATGCTGTCACGATTCAGTCCCAGATTCCAACTTTGAAGCTGAACGAGAATGAAAATGACTAAAAATGAAAATGACTCAGTCCGTCAGAGTCTGAAGCCGTGTGAACGCTGCGCTCGCCTTATTCCGCTCAGTGGAGTCCAAACGGTCAAAGCTGTAAACATCTCCCTCCGTGTGTTCACGCGTGTCTGAGTGTGCGCGTGCTTGTGGGGGTATCAGAGGTTTTAATGATGCCAGTCACGCCCCCCTCCCTGCTCGTCACACCAACAACGTTTGGATGGAACAAAGAGGACAAAATAAGAAAAATCCAGAATATTCTCCCGCTGTTTGATGTGTACGGTCGCAGTGAGCATTTCTCTCATTTTCATCTCCTTTTTGAGTCATCTGTCCATCTCTCAGTCTCTCCCACACACTCTCTCTCTTTCTCTCTCGCTCCCCGTGGCGTTTCTTCCACCAGGGGTCGAGTGAGAGAGAGAGAGAGAGGCCCCATCCTCTGAGTCCACCTGCTGGGCAGAGGAGCGCAGTGGACACGCGTCAGCTTTGCTTTTGTGCGCACGCACACACACGAGCGAGAGAAAGAGAGAGAGATTCACACTGCTCTGATCAGGCTGAGTTACAGTAAAGAACAGTTTAAATAGCAATTGGGATAAATATGACGCCGAGTTCGTGATTATCAGACACATATGTGTGTTATATTATCTCCATCAAGCTCTCGAACTGTTGTAAAATGAGCAGCTACTCTTTCTCAGGTGACGGTGCAAGAGTAAAGGTTTGGTTAGGTGGATGAAAGCTGGCCTTTGAGGCAGCTGCGCTGTGACCGCTGAGCCACAGCGCTCCCTGTTTGGCCTGACTGAAACTATAGCATTATGTGACCACTAGAGGTCCCTGAATGACAGAGTGTAGCTGTGGGATCATACAGGCTTAGTTTTCCTTTCTAACATAATGTATAGCTCCAGTTTTGGAGCATACTGTGATCTACGTGTAAGTATATGTGTCTGCATACGTGTTGGATCCCAAGGAGATGTTACACAGATTCTCCTCCCCTGCAGATCATGTCCTGTGGAAATCACAGTTCACCTGGAAATGTGTCCACACATATTACCCCCATATTCTGTTCTCCACACACTCTCACTCAACAATAAACGGTCTATACAAAGCATCTCGTGAATGTTAATGTAGAGCAATGAGCCTGCTGACCATTATTCTTCCATTCATGTTTTCCTCTGTCTCCGTTTAATCACAGCTTATCAAACTGATCGTCAGGCAGTTTTCCTCCATCCAGGGATATCAGTTGAAAATGTGACTTTCATCTCATAGTCACTTGGCCTGTAATATTAAAAGGACTCATAAGGAGGATATCCACTTTAATGACTGTTTGAGACCTATCACTAGTTTTATGTACAGATGGCAAATTTACACCGAGGGGGAAGAGTTTGTGTGGGAGCCACCACAGTGTCTCTAGTGGGCTCTTTCTACCCGATGGCACAGTCATGTTCACTGGTATGTGTATAAAATTTGAAAAAATTACCAACACTAGGAGTGGTGTATATTTGTATATCAATATATTCCACGTATACTCGCAATTGATATCAGGGGCAGACAAAACAGAATGATGATGCATCCTGTATCATCCTGCACTTCAGCTGGAGTGGTACACAACTGATCTCAGGCATTGATAACTGGTCCACTGAGGAAGAAGTTGTTAATCCTTTTCTATTTTTTGATCGATATAAAGGAGGTCAAAAAGATATTTAAAAAAAACAACCTGGTTGGAATAAATTTTTATCAAATCTCAGTATCATTTATGAAATTAATTTTCTCTCTCTTTTATAGAGTATCAATGATATAAATTCTGATCAAAATATCTCAACAACAACTATAGGCAGGGCAGTGCGTGTGAGTGTTGGGGGAGCCTGACCTCCATAGGCAGTATCTTTCATTGCAGCTATGAAGCAAATTTCCAGACATGAAGTGAATGCAAAAGAATTGAAAGCATACTTATTGCCCAATTTACTCGCATTTTAAAACAAGTCGAGTCAGTTTGACTTGTATTCCATTACAATCGAGTACCATCTGTGTATTGGCTCGTTACAGCAATGCGGCGAAATATTTGTATGCGACATGAATGCCGCAACAAAGGTGGATCTTGAGGCAACGGTATACCTGCTGCTTGGTCTGTTGTTTTTGGTCAGGCTCGATGACCACAGTGTTGTTTTTGTGCAGCTGTTTCCTTCATTGCCGAGTTTCAAAAATGGTGGTTTGATTTTTCTCAAAGACACGCTCTCATGACTCATCGAGTGACGCCACTGACTAGCCAATCGGCACGTAGGCTGTGAATGTCACATTTTTTGGATCGTTCAAACCACTTCAAGTAGCTACTAAAAAAGTAGCTGGTATGAGGGACTATCATCAAATGGAAAACCCTAAAAACTGTATCAAGCCATTAGGTAGTAATGGAAAAAAAGTTATAAGTGACAATTCAGGGTCACCTGATCCAGCCCTAATTATATACTTTATTAAAAAGGAAGTTTTTAACCGTATTCTTTGAGTAGAGTAGTAGAGAGGGTTTTTGTCCTGTGAATTCAAACTGGAAGCTGGTTTCACAGAAGGAAGCCTGGAAGCTGAAGGCTCTGCCCGCCATTCTCCTTTTAATACCCAAAGCACCACAAGTAAGCTTGCAGTCTGAGAGAAAAGTGCTTTATTGGGGTGATACCATGAGGTCTTTTAGATTAGATTAAGCTTGATTATTCAAGGCCTTGTATGCAAGAAGTAGGATTTTAATTTCTATTCTGGATTTACCAGGGAGCCAATGAAGAGAAGCCCGTATAGAAATATACTCTTCTGTTTCTAGTCTATTTCAGTTCTCTTAGTGCAACATTTTGGATCAAGGGAAGGCTTTTAGTGAGTTTTAAGGCAACCCAATAATAATCAATTATAATAGTTCAGCCTAGAAATAATAAAATTAACTACTTTTGTTACCATCACTCTGTTTTACTAATAGGAAGCTCTATAGTAGGGTACAGGAAAGGAGAGCTAATTAGTCAAACTTCAGATTAAGGAGGAACGATGTCATTTTCATCTTAGTTGAGGAATGTAAACCAGTTCTTTATCCTCTTCAGGATATTCAAATATGCATGGGAGTTCGCCCATCCAGTCCACATGTGTTTTGTGGACTTGGAGAAGACACTGAACTGCATCTCTTGGGGGACCCTGTGGGGGGTCCACTGCTATGAGCCTTTCAGTCACTGTATAACCATTGCAAGACTAGGCCCACATTGCTGCAAATAGTTGGATCTTGTTGGATCTCTTGCTTACGAGTGAGGGGGAGGAGAGCAGAAGATTGAGAGACAGATTGGAGCCAAGTCTGATGTGGATGTTGCACCAGTCTTTCCTGTTGAAGAAAGACATGAGCATAAAATAAAGCTGTTGGTTTACTGGTCAATCTATATCTTCACCCTCACCTATGGTCATTAGCTCTGAGTAGCAACTGAAAGAATGAGATTGCTGATACAAGTGGCAGATATGAGCTTAGTCAGGATTGCTGGTTTCTCTCTTAGAGATATGATGAAGAGTGCAGTCATTCAATAGAGGGTCAGATTAGAGCTACTGCACTTCCACATCGAAAGGAGCCAGTTGAAGAGGTTCGGACATCTGACTAGGATGGCTTCTGGGCAACTCCTGATTGAGGTGCTCTGGGAATATCCTACTGGAAGGTGGCCCCAGGGCAGAACCAGGACCGGCTTGAGATATTAGATCTCTCAGCTGGCCTGGGAAAGCCTTGGTGTTTCCCCCCGATAAGCTGGAATAGTTCGCTGGGGAGAGGAAGGTCTGGGCGTCCTTGGTTAGGCTGCTACCTCCGCGACCCAACCCTGGGTGAGCATAAAAAAAATGGATGTATGGATCGATAGATGGATGGAGTTTTTAAAACCTTATTGTTGTCATTGTCCCTCAGTCCTCCAGGTTTGTCTTCTTTATATTTCTCCCCCTTGATTTTTTTCCTCTTTGTGCTCGTTTGTTTGTGTCTGTGTTTGTGGGCGAGACTCAATGCAACAATCAACCACCCATTTCTGAAGGTGGCATCAGGGAGCCACTACTTAAGGTAGTAGCTGATAGTCATGCTTTGCATCATTGAACTACTCAGTTAAACACTGGCTCTTACTTCTATGTGTGTGTCTGCCTCTCGTGTCTCACGAATTCTTACCCTGTGTTTTACTCTGTACAAATCCCCGGATTCCCTTCTCTGGTGTGCTGAGCTTGACGTTTGAGAGCGAGTGTTACCTGTAAATATTGAATGTGTAGATTCCCTACCTCCCTGGACCCGCCTGGAGCACTATTCCCCTGTTGCATTGTTCACGGTGTAAATATCTATTCACTGGAAATAAAAGCCCTGAACTGTGGTCTTCTAAACCCTGCATCTGAGTCCTACCTGCCCATTAGCCTTGATAATTTTAGTGTATTATGAGTCTTAGGTATTTGTATTATTGGCTTTTTGGTGTTGTCTCACCTTTATTATTTTTCTAAAGAGGAGTTTTTAAAATTTGAATTACAGTTTTTTCTGAATGCTTAAACCCCAACTGTGATTCCTGTAGCACAATCTCTAAAACTATTCAGACTTATAGCAAAACCACTCACTGAGTTTGCAAAACTAAAAGCACAAAAACTGCTTTGCACTCAGTTTGCAATTTTGTAACACACACTTTGCAAAACTGTAGGCACAATTCACTGCACAACACTCAATTACCAAATTTCCAACACACTCCTAGCAACAGTATACACATGTATGGCTATCATTAACACTAATTTGCCAACTGTCTGGCACACTTTCACATGTCAAAACTTTCTTAGATAATTCGTTCACTTTGCAATCAGCCTAAGCACTATAATACAGGTAAGCTGTGTGCGGAGTACAATGGAGGGAGCAGAAAGAGTGAGAAGTAGAGGAGGCCGAGGAAGAGGACGTGGAGGTGAAGAAGTAGGATGAAGAGGACGACAAGGACAAGGAGGAGCAAGAGGAAGACGAGGAGGGGGAGAGGAAGACGAGGAGGGGGAGAGGAAGGGTAGGAAGAGTAAGAAATAGAATTGCTGATGACATCAGAGCTACAATAGTGGACCATGTCATCAACCGTGGAATGACCCTGAGGGTAGCTGGCCAACGGGTCCAGCCTAACTCGAGCCGCTACACTGTAGCAAGTACCATAGGGACATCTTGAAATGAGAATCGGTTAGTACAGTCACTTCGCACAAAGATTTGTAGCACTGCCATATGCCAATGAGAAACACACCAATACCACTGATGTAAAAATACTGAAATTGTTACTTTACAGAATTGCTAGATGACCAGATGCTGGGGGCAGAGGAAGCATGTTCACTGCAGACCAAGTAACCCATATAGTCATTATGGCGATTGCAAATAATCCTATACTTGGAAATAAACACTTGTGTTTGTTTTGATGTGTTTCAAGTACACCAGTACTTGA